TTTTTTTAACAAATTATTTGATTTATTCTTAAAGTATTGTTGACATAGTTAGGACATTATTCTTTTTATAGAAGTGTTCAAGATTTTTCTTTAATGTTGTATATGGTACTAGAATCCCAAATTGTGATATCCATCTAATTATTGGCCATAATAAAATCAAGAATCTTTTCAATTTTGACATAGTATCCTTCTTGTGATTTAAGTTGTACTGTCATGATTTTAGGAGATAATATGGTCAAATGTTATGGTTTACACAACAATAGACATGTCTTATGATGTGAAGTTAGTATCCTTCTTGTGATTTAAGTTGTACTGTCATGATTTTAGGAGATAATATGGTCAAATGTTATGGTTTACACAACAATAGACATGTCTTATGATGTGAAGTTAGTATCCTTCTTGTGATTTAACTTGTACTGTCATGATTTTAGGAGATAATATGGTCAAATGTTATGGTTTACACAACAATAGACATGTCTTATGATGTGAAGTTAGTATCCTTCTTGTGATTTAAGTTGTACTGTCATGATTTTAGGAGATAATATGGTCAAATGTTATGGTTTACACAACAATAGACATGTCTTATGATGTGAAGTACTCATCTTGTCTTATGATGTGAAGTACTCATCTTTAACGATTGTATTGCTACTTTTTTGAGGAATTGCATATATTATTTTTATACTTTTATTTTTAACATGCATGTAAATTGAGAGGGTATTAACAAATATTCTATTTTATTTATAATTTTTTTGTTTGTCTTTATTTCAATTTTAATTGTTTTCTGTTCAAATTCATGATTTTAGTTTATAATTTGAAACTTTTATTAACAATTTGACAAGTTTACCTATTTTGTTTATAATGAAATGACAAAGATTATCTAAAATAATAATACTATTTATTTTTTTATTTTTATTTTTAATTTTTTTTTGTTTTGCCGGAGAAGTTAGATGATGATGGTAAAAAGTTAAATGATGATGGTAAGAAGTTGAATGATTTGTACAAACCTGTCTCACAACTGCAAATAAAATATTACTTTCTACTTCACATAAAAATACAAAATGCAATATAGCAGTGGTGAGTAGGGTCGTCTCCGGAAACAATAATGATTTGACCACTTGGCTATTTATAATTAAATATATATATTTACATGCGAGGGATTTGAGATTTGATTTACTACGCTAAATAAAGAAGGAAAATAATTCAAATTAGAAAAGAAAATAAACTAAGCTAAAATATAACCAAATACCAAAATGGACTAAACTTTAGCCTAGGCACAATTTTTGTTCGGGATATGAAAATTTGTTCATCGACCATAATCAAGTTTATTAGTTTATTGGATAAATTGGTTATAGTTGATCTACACACGTTCATAACCAACATTTTCTTAATTTATTGATAGCTAATGTACGACCGTTAGCTATTTTCCTAATCGTTTGAGAATTTTTGATACGGCCATAGTATTACTGACTCGAAAGCATTGAGAACTAGAAATGCCCAATTCAATTTAAACAAATTCCTACGAGAATTTGTTCAAAATTGATTTTAATTCCTCCCTATAGTATTCTTCCTCTAGGTTGCTACTTCAATGGAAAGATTATACAATTATGGGTGCAAATCCTCAATATAACTATGAAATCTCAAACTAATATGTGGCCACAAATATCAATTTAAGATTTCTAATTTCGCAAGGTAGAGAAATTAAAAATACCAATACCAATAAACATCAAATTAAAATCAAAATTAAGTCTCACAAATTTATATCCCAAACTTCAATTCATATCTAAGTTAGAAAATAAATTATTCATAATCCATAGAAATCGAAAATACAAAGCAAAGAAAGAAGTTCATCATGTCTTCAATCTTTGAAAATTAACAACAAACAAATTCTAAGAACGTAGAAAGAATCCTTTCAAATTTTGTCTGCCTGCTCCCGGGAGTTCTCTGCACCGTGTTCTTTCTTGCGTCTCTTCTTCCTTCTAAGGGTTGATGTCGTGGGAAAGAACGTGGTAGTGCGTTTCCTTCCCCTCTTCTTCAATTGTAAATCGTGTGTTTTAATTCTTCATCCTAAGATCCTCTTTGTAATTAGATCATCTTTACAATTAAATCCCCACAATTTTTAAATTTTTCAATCTATCCCGTATGACTTTTTTGTAATTTCCACAATTTTCATTATGTTTTATGTACTTGCGTGATCACGCGTAACCTCTTTCTGCATTCAGCTCCTTGCTTGCACAATATGCCCAAAAATTTGTCAACTCCGCAATGCCTAGTGAACAACAAAAAGACACACAATTAGAAGTATATATACAAAATTCACACCAAAAAATCGCCCATAATATAACAAACTATGTATCTAATATACCACTTATCAATTTATTGGTCATCCTTTAATGATTAATTTTGCTTTTTCTTGGTGTTATTTTTTTAAATATATTATTGTCTATTGATCAACTTATTTTAACAATGATATGTTATTATTATGTACCCTACTGTATAAAATAATATGTATCAATTTGTTTAAATTTGGATATTTTGATATAAAACGATATATATCGATACCGTTTAAATTTTAATATTGTAGTATAAAAGAGTACTTCAGTATAATACGATATATGCCAATACTATTTAAATTTTGCTATGAAATTTGTATATACTGTTACCGTACGAATAATTTGGTATACTGAATTGTCGGTACGGTACAATATAAAACATCTCGTACCAGATTTTCGGTATACTGATTTATCAGTACAACATCAATATGATATTTTATCACAACAAAAAATTTGGTACAATATATATAATAAGTTTCCGTATACAGTACTGAACCAGCCTTAGTTGAGAATGTATATGCTTTAAGGTTTTAATTATAAAAAAAGATGGATGAATACATCTCACTTGTTAAAAAATTGTTTTACTTGTTAACTGTCTTCATAATTAGTTTTTAGTCCGATCAATACATATAAATATGTATATATATATATATATAAAATGATTAAGTTGGTATAGTAGACAAACTTATGATCAAAAGGTCACATATTCAAATATTACCGATGCTTTCTTAGTTCAGTTTGTCACTAAGAGCTTGTCTAGTGTAGTTGTTTTAATGGTTTGACTTGCATACTCTTACGCTTGATACAATAGCGACTGCAGCTTCCCACATAATCAAATATTAAAGCATAGATAGTATATAACCAAGTGCTTAGCTCATAAAATAACTTTATAAAGTATATATACATAATTTGTATAGTTATCAAACTCATATTAAAAAAACTTAAAAGTATACAAATGGAAGATAATGACAATAAACGCAGTATTACTTATCTATGGTCTCAAAGAAAATATGTTCTATAATTGCCAAAAGATATTTATATTTGCCAATATTTTTTGGCATTTATGTTTGCAAATGTGAAAGCAAATATTATTTGGACGTACATGTTTAATCATGAGGTGGTTGTGACAACTTTTTGAACTATGTGGTCCGTGGCCATAACAAAATGGACTTAAAAATTAATTAAATTTTAAAGAACATTTTGGTAATCAAATATTGTTTGATAAACAAATAGTAAATCTACCTCATATTTTAAGAATCAAATTGTAAAAATTATGAAAATTTATGTGGGTTGAAGTTTTGTGAAAATAAGTTTAACTTATTATGTATGAGTTAGGATAATTTTGTGCACAACGAAGAATTTCACCAAAAAATTATGGTGTAGTAAAAATTAATAGTACTTATTACACTACAAAAATATTGGGCTTGGTCCGGTGTCCAAGCTCGGGCTAAAGCTGTTAAGATTGCTAATTCAACGAAATTGATGGAAAAAATGTTGACCAGATTATTGGTTAATTGAATATCAGTTACAAGTTCAACTTATAATGACCGATGACGGTTTAAAGATGATTTTGATAGTAGAATAATTTGAAAATTAAGTGATGTAATAAAAAAAAAATAGTTTTAAATTTTGGCGGTGATGTGATAAAATGTAGTGTAAGAATTAAAAATATTTAATTATTTTTTATTTAAAAAATATTACAAAATATTTTGAACAAACAAAAAAAATACATACTTGAGAAAGAGAAAATATTATTTGATTGACATCATTTCCAATGAAATCATTAACTTCCTACTTAAAATATTATATTAAAATAATATTTAAATATAAAAAAATTCAAAATCAAAACCAAACAAACTCTAAAATTTCCATAAAAAATATTACTTTATAAAATAATATAATATGAAAGATTGTTTGAGTTGGATTTCAAACCGTTTTTCTAACAAAATCAATGTGTGTTATTTTTAATAAAAATATACTCATTTTATTCCAAAACAATAAGGACGTTTGAAATTGACACAAAAATTAAAAAATAATAGTATTATATTGATAGTAGATGTAAAAATATTTTTAAAAGACCAAAATATTTCTACTTTATGTAATTATTGTAAAAAAATAAATATAATTTTATAAAAAAGATGAGAGCTTGTTACCAAAAATGGAAATAAACTATTATTTTAGAAAAGACGAAAATAACAAAATATGACTATTATTTTGGGACCGTGAGAATGTTATATTACCTAACAAATATAATACTCCTTCCGTCCCACTTACCATGTCCACATTTTCATTTCCTTGTTTTGTCATTTTTCATTTTTTTAAAAAAATTATATACTTTAATTTTCTTTTAAATTTTTAAAATTTATAATTTTTTAAATTTTAATTAAAAATATATAATTATTTTTATTATATAATAATTATTTTTAATTATATATTAATTATATTCCTCCTAAATTAGTGATTAAGGGAGTATAAAATTATTATTTAAATTAATATACAAAATTCAAATTTAAATGCAAACCAATCAATTAATAAATTTTATTTTGAAAGTAAATATGAAAGCGAAGACGGAAAAGACAAATAAGGTTTTGACCCGACCCGACCCGACCCGTTATTGAATTTGAATGAAAACTGTCTAAGAAGGCCGAAGCCCATTTCCAGATTAGTTTCCGTCTCCATACTTTCCGCAAACTGCCTCCTGCCTGCCAAACTCCACTAAAGTAACTACTCTCTCCAACTCTTTTTCCCACCGCCTCCGCCGCCTCCGCCTCCGCCGCCGCCGGACACAATCGTAATCTGTCAATCTTTCCACTGACACTGACGAATCAAGGAATTGTGAATTCTGCAACAGCAGCTTGAAAAGCTTTTGATGCAAAAACTGCTGCGTTTCCTCAAAACCACATCGCCTTCTCCGCTTAATTTCTGCTCAAAACCTTGCGCTGCTTCCCCGATCAACCGATTCTCCTATTTCACCCGATCTTACAAATCCACATCGGAACGCGGCTGTGATTTTTGGAAATTTTCGATGGCAAGTTCAGGGACGGTGAAGTTGCCTCCGCCGCCAATTGAAGAGGGTTTAGGTACAAGATTCTGGATCAAATCGAACAAGGAATGGACGCAGGCTCTGTACACACCGTTTCTTGTCAGTTTGGCTGCCGGAGATCTCAAACTGGACAGTTTTCGACATTATATAGGACAGGACGTTCATTTTCTCCGGGCCTTCGTGAAAGCGTCAGTGCCTCTATCATTTTGTTTATGTTTGATCATCTTTTCGTTGCTTTATTTCTGTTTTTTTTGTTAAGAGTTGTCTGAATCTTTCATTTCCCCGTATAATTTTGTGTTATGATATTCCTATTTTTTCGTTTCCTTGTTCAGTAGAAATGTTGCTTTCAAATTTGAAAAAGACTATTGTGAAACTAATCATTAAGCACAATCTAACGTATTACAACAAAAAACAAGAACATTATTTCTTACAGTCTCTATCAGATGTAGTGTTCAAGGGCGAACATTGCTGCCTATTTATCGATTTGCATCGGATAACACTTCCTATAGCATGTATATGACTCTGATGCCAGTGAAATGCCCTGTTTATGGATCACATTTTCGATCAATTCTTGTTCAGAAAGGCTGTAAATCTAGGATGCGAGTTGCCATAGTGACATAATCAGCTAAGAATCATCTTTACCCTTGATATCTGCAGTATTTCAAGTGATTTAGTTGATATTCTGAACCCTCTAGTTTTACCAGGAAATGTGGATAAATGAATTACGGAGTAGGCATTTCTTTGATAAATGAGGAATAGTAGTGTGAGAATTATTCTAATTCCTCATTTTCACATCCTTATACTAATACTTCTTAAGTAGTTCTCTTTCTTTCATAGTTGGTTTTGATAAATTATTCTATTATTATTATTTTTTTTCTTTGATACTTCCAAACAAATACCATATAGTTCTTAGTATCCTCTATTTTTTTTTTTTTTTTTTATTTTGTTACTGATAATGTTAGATTCAAGTGGAATAATTGATGCTATGGTTTGGTAGAATCCCATTACATTATATCACCAAATTTCTTTGAATAACTTGCCTGATGATCAGTTTAGGTGCCATATTAACATATTTTGATTCTGTACTTGCTATGAAAATTAAAATTTTCTCTTATCTGTGTCTTTCTCTATATTTTATATTCAAATTTAAAGTTTAATTAAAAACATCCTTACGCCTATTTATAGTAAATTTATTATATATGCAATTATGCATTTATATGCATATCCACACTGTATAAATTTATATCTTCTAACTTAAAATGCTACCTATATATGCTTTACTTAATATTTGCTATTCTATAATAGAGTATTTTAAGCACTGATAATATATATATATATATAATTAAATAACCAATACACTTGCGGCAATGGTTCATTTTTTATGGTATATATTTACTTGCCTTGTTGCAGAATTAAACTCATATTAGCATATTTTAACTTAATATCTTCATTGTTTTGTGAAATCATTAGAAATCAGATATAAATACTTTCTTATCCTTGTAGAAAATAATCTTTTATGAATATATTATAATTCTATTAATCTAATTTTTAACACTGCCAATTTATGCAAATGCCATTGCATCATTATTTTTGTTAATTTGAATTAAGTTGTTTCAAATTAAGTTCAAATGAGAATTATTTATAAAGGTTATTTGACAAAAATTTTGTTACAAAATTATTTTACTCTATGCATTCATTCATTTCTATCTACCAGCTATGGATATAAAATCAAGAAAACAATTATATTCCTGGGATAAGTTATATTAGTCTGTCTTTATTAACATTGAAAAGTCCTATTTTATTCCATATATATAGACATACATATACTAGAAAAACTTTTTAGTATAGTGGTGCCATATGCCAAAGTTATCTAATGCAAAAGAGTTCCTTAAAGTGCAGCATTGTAAAAACTTATTGTTCTGGATGTGCAAAGGTATTCAAAGGCAATTAACCAAACAAGTGTAATAATGAAATCCAATTGCATCTGAGATCATTAACTATCATGATGTGATGCAAAAAGTGCCAGGAAATCCTGTTGTCTATGTGCATTGCCCCTTGTCTTAAGATTGGTCTATGTAGGTAGAGTTCTCAAATTTGGAAGCTATATTACTAGTTATTTTTTGGCCTAACATTAGAAAATAATGAATATATATGAATGCAGTGTTGTATTCTTTACTTTGATTCTCTCCAGGATTATTGATACTTTGGCGCAACTATCTAAATCAGGTATGAAATGGCTGAGGAGTGTGCAGATGATGATGATGCAAAAGTTGGGATTAATGAATTACGGAAGAATGTTCTTGAAGAGCTCAAAATGCATGGTTCATTTGTTCAAGTGAGTATTATTATGAATCTGAAGATGTGTGGGCATTCTGAATTTGACTTCTTAGGCTGTAGAGCTGCCTCGAAACTGGTGTACTTTTTATCTATAGGAGTAACTAACTGTACTCGTGCTGTTGTTGAATTGTCTGTTCTAGGCACTTAGGAATTTTAAGATTCATCTGATTCTAGTGACTTTGTGGATACAACTAAGGCCCCTAAGATTGAGCACGCATAGTATACTGTTGATAGTGTGTTTGTTGACTCATATTCATCGATTTGAATAATCAATATTTCCAATCAGAGCTGCTTTCCTGTGGCTCATGCTGTATTTTCACTTATTGTTATGGATGGGCAAGTATTTCACTGTGTTATTGTAATGTCCAGGAGTGGGGCTTTGACCTAACAGAAGGTAGTCCGGCAAATGCTGCAACTATCAAGTATACTGACTTTCTAATAGCAACAGCCTCAGGAAAAATTGAAGGACTAAAAGCTCCTGGGAAACTAGCTACCCCTTTTGAAAAAACAAAATTAGCTGCTTACACTCTTGGTGCTATGACCCCGTGTATGAGGCTCTATGCCTTCCTAGGCAAGGAGCTGCAGACGTTGCTTAGCTCAAGTGAGGCCATGCATCCATACAAAAAGTGGATTGACAATTATTCCTGTGAAGCATTTCAGGTTCGTATAACTAATGAGAACCAAACTGATATCAATACTAATACATTCTAACCTGTAACAAAAATACACACATATTGATCTGATATATCTGACAATATATGAATGCATTTCATTCAGGCTGCAGCTTTGCAAACAGAAGACTTGCTTGAAAAATTAAGTGTGTCTTTAACTGGAGAAGAGCTTAATATCATTGAAAAGCTGTATCATCAAGCTATGAAGCTTGAAATAGAGTTTTTCCTTTCTCAGCCAATTGTTCAGAAAACGGTTACTCCTCTCCATCAAGAGCACAATTCAGGGCCGCAGTGCCTGATGTTATTTTCGGATTTTGATTTGACTTGCACTGTGGTGGATTCTTCTGCAGTCTTGGCAGAAATAGCAATCCTCACAGCCCCAAAATCAGATCAAAATCAATCAGACAACCAACTTGCTCGAATGTCCTCGGCTGATTTGAGAAGCACTTGGGAGGAACTTTCTAAGCAGTACACCGAAGAGTATGAGCAATGTATAGAAAATATCTTACCTTCTAATACAGGTACACCGTTGTATATCTTTAGATATTGTTTTTAGTATTTCCATATGAATCTTCATGATATATTGTGATATAAAATGGGTTTGTGGAACTACTTTATGCAGTGGAAAAATTCGATTATGAAGTTCTGCATAAAGCACTGGAGCACCTTTCGGAATTTGAGAAAAAAGCCAATTTAAGGGTGATAGATTCTGGAGTGCTTAAGGGTCTGCATTTAGAGGATATAAAACGAGCAGGAGAGCGCTTAGGTCTCCAAAATGGTTGCAAGAGTTTTTTCCAGACTGCACTTAAAAATAATAATCTAAACACAAACATCCATGTCCTGTCCTATTGTTGGTGTGCTGATCTCATTAGATCTGCTTTTTCCTCAGGTTGGTTCCTTTTTCCCATTTTATTTGAGGTTTTATTGCTTTATTTATACATTCAATTAAAGTTGCTATATCATTTAATATGAAATTTTTTAGAAGTATTTGATTCTCTGCTAAGGACATATTTAGATAAACTATCTCGGCTGGTTGCTCTCTGCTTTTGGTCTATACACATTCTCATTCTTAACTTCGCTGCATGTGCAGAATTTCTGGTTGCAATATTATAGTCCTAAAAAAACACTATGTCAAATAGCTATATTTATGAGTATAATGTCTTTTACTCAGCTATCTGTTCAATACAGAATTGTACTGCGATAAAGGTATACTAGAAATTTAACGATTCTTATTTTCTTTTTCAAAGTAGTGGCCAGCTTATTGTGCATGGTGTAGGTAAAGATTTTTAGAAGAAATCTTGATCGATATTAAGAACATGGCATGCATCTTCTTTTGTTTGGGAAAACAGTGAGATGAATATGTGCTTAATTTTATGTTATCCCGTGCAGGTGGCCTAGACTCCGTGAATGTACATGCAAATGAGTTTGTATATGAGAACTCATTATCCACCGGAGAAATTATTAAAAAGGTCGAGTCTCCTATCGACAAGGTCCAAGCTTTTGATGGTATCTTGCAGAACAGTGCCAAAGATACTAAGAATCTGACAGTGTACATTGGAGATTCAGTAGGCGACTTACTTTGCTTGCTTAAGGCAGATGTTGGCATTGTGATAGGTTCAAGCTCGAGTCTGCGCAAGGTGGGGAGCCATTTTGGTGTTTCTTTCGTGCCTTTATTTCCTGGTGTGATTGAGAAGCAAAAACAAACTGCCGACGAAAGTTTATCTAGTTGGAATGGTCTATCAGGCGTTCTCTACACAGTCTCAAGCTGGGCGGAGATTCATGCATTTATTCTGGGTGGGTCGTAATGGCCCTCACCTGGATTACGCTCTTTCTTGACGAGATGTTCATAATATTTGACACACAACACAGACAAGCTCAGTGGCTGTGTTTTTTGTTGCGGGCCACAAATCAGCTTTGTTTTGTCATTTTTGGTTTTTACTGCAGGGTCGTCTGTCCTGGTATCAGAAATCACTACTCCATGCCCTCTTTTACTGTGGGAATTTCCTTCCATTTGAAAACTATGAAACGCGATTCTTTTGGCTGGAACGATATGTGAGTTTCCTATCCAATCCTATCCTACCCTACCCTATCGTACTGTCGATCATGCTCAAGTATTTCATTTCATCTAATAATTCAATGTTTTTTTACTGCCTGCATGCATTCATTTAAATGCTTGTTACTGTGAATGTTATGTGACCTCCATTTTCTGCAATGTCAGTGAAAAACATGTAAAAAAAATTTCAGGCTAGTGTGAATGATTTAGGGTGTTTGCATTTGAACTTGTGCTTCCATTACACTATAGGTAAAATATAATCTCAATTTAGTTATCTTAGATGATTATCTATTGGTATTTGATGGAAGCATTGAATAGAATAGAATATATAGACTGTCTTGGAATGATTGCATTGTTTTTTTATTTTTATGTCGAATATTGTGCTTACACAATGGCATTTTCTAAGGAATGTGGTTATTTAGGATTTAAGATGTGTTTTGATTTTATTTTAGTGGTTGGGTGATTTTGGATTTTTGAAATTAAGGTGTACAAAGTGAAGTAATACATAGAAATACCCGTCCGTCGACGCCGCTTGGTTTTGTCTTAGTACGATTTGTCTTGTCAGTCTAGTTTGCAGGTCATTGTGTTAGATCGGGGTTTACCAAATAAAAGTAGCCGCGGCTAATTTCTACGTCGTAAAAAAAGATAATCAAAATAAAATGAAATGCATTGTAGATTTTGTTTTAATTTTGTGTTTCAATTCAAATAATATATATTTTTTGTTTTATTTTATTCTTGTCTCACTTAAAAGTATTGTTATAGTAAAAGTAATATTCCATCCTTCTCAAAAGTATAACCTTATTGTGTTGGACACGAGATTTAAGAAATATTGATATTATATTGGTAGTTGGTAAAAAATAAGGATAAATATATTAGATTTAAATAGGAGTAATTTTATGGTGATATGATTATTTCTGGAAATAAGACTATTGTTTTGGGACGGACAAAAATGATAAATAAAATATACCAAAATATCCTTAATTTTGATGTAAATACCATTATTTATACAATTATTTTATATATATAAAATTAAAAACAAAATATTAAAGCCTCTTCCACATTTCACTAATAAATAATTATATTTTTTAATTTATTACAAAATCGGACATAGAGTATTATTTGAATAAAAATATCAAACAAATACACAAACATTTTTTCATCAAAACCTACACCACTCAAATATTAAAACTACATTATCAAACATTGTAGTTCCCAAACAACATTGAAACAACAAAAAACATCATCTTTAACATATCATATCTAAACCCCGACCCCTGATGCCGGGGGCGGCGTCTCCCTCGGCTCGACCCTATTCATCTTCATCTGCCTCATCCCAATGCTCTCCTCGTCCTCGTCGTTATAAAGATACGCCATCCCCCCGTGCCTCGTCGCGTCCATCCCCGCCATCTCGTCCTCGCTCGATATCCTCAATAGCTTCATCGCCTGCAACCCGAGGAACAACGGCGCCATCGTCACCGACACCCACCCCACTATCACCAGCACCTGAAACAAATATTATGTTCAGTATACTTAGTAAATAATTAAGAATGAATTAGTAAAAATAATTATCGTATTATAAAAATAATTATAAATTAAAATTAAGATAACTAACTAGTCTAATTCCAATAAAAATATTAAAACTTAAAATTTTAAAATAAAATTAAAGTGTATAATTTTTTTCGGCAAAATAAATGGACATACGAAAATAAAAAAAGTGGACATGATAAGTGGGACTGATGAAGTATTATTTAAAATTAATTTGTTAATTCTTCCGTCGTCCAGTCGTGTGCTCATTTGACCTAGCACATATTTGAAGAAAAATAGGTAAAAATAGAAATTTTTATGTTTTGGGTAAAGAACAAATAAAAAAAATACTACTCCATCTGTCCGCCAAATTTATTCTCACTTTCCTTTTTAGTCCGTCCACTAAATTGATCCAATTACTAATTTTGATAAATGCAACAAACTAACATTTAATTATTACCTTCAATTCAAATAACAAATAACACTAACTTTATGATGTACTCTCTCTTTATTTACTTACTTTCTAATTAAATTTTCAAAAATACCATCAATTATTCAATAAAATATTAATTTTTTTAATTCTCATGCCTAGCCTAAATGAGCTCATTTTAATAGACTGTCAGAGTATCTTTTTACTATAAAAAAAAAAATAATAATAAATTTGGATTAAAAAAAGAAAAAAAAAAAGTGAATAGATTTGAGTACGTTAATAACACCAACCTGCACAATCTGCGCCGCCAGCAGCCTCCCGCCGCCGCCCATCAGCAGCCCGTACGGCCTGCCCGGCCGCCCCGGGTAGACCTCATTCACATACGCCTTTTTGGCGAACAATCCGGTGAACAGTACCCCCCACGAGCCGCAGCCGCCGTGGAGCTGCGCCGCCTCCAACGGGTCGTCGTACTTAGCCATCTCCGCCAGCTTGTTGCAGCCGATCAGGACCCACGCCGCCACGAAGCCGCAGACTATCGCCGCCCAAGGCTCCACCACCGAGCAGCCGGAGGTGATCGCCGCGAAGCCGCCGAGCAAGCCATTGCAGACGTCGATCACGTTCCAGTGTCCCTTCAGGAACCTCTTCCCGAACAGCGTCGTCAGCGCCGCCGTGCTCCCGGCCAGCGTCGTCGTCACCGCCGTCCTCCCGACGGCGCTCCACTGGCCGTAGTACGTGCCGCGATCTGAGCCGTAGGATCTGTTTATCGCCAGGAAGGATCCTGGATTGAATCCGTACCATCCGAACCATAGCAGGAAGCTGCCGAGGACGACCAGGGAGGCGCTGTGGCCGCGGAGGGCGACGGACCGGCCGGTCCGGTCGAACCGGCCGATCCGGGGGCCCTCGATTAGGGCTCCCCATAGACCGGCAATGCCGCCGACCATGTGGACGACGCCGGAGCCGGCGAAATCGATGGCGCCGGAGTTGAAGAGAAGGTCGCCGTTGGCCCTGGCCGGGGAGGCCCAGCCGTCGGGGGACCAGAACCAGTGGGAGACGACGGGGTAGACGAAGCCGGTGAGGAAGGAGGAGTAGATTAAGTAGGCTACGAATTGGGTCCTCTCTGCAATCGAGCCGCTGGTAATACCTGCAGTGCAGATTCGAATATATATTATTAAAAAATTAATAAAAGATATGTTTATATATTATTATTATTATTATTATTATTATTATTATTATTAAGAATATTTTTTATATATATTTTTTTGACAAATATTATTCTGTTAATATTATAAGAGAAAATATTTTTGTAATTTTTTTTTTTATTTGTACTACGATTGATATGATAATTAATATTTAAATATCAACACAAACAAAAAAAATAAAAAATAAATAAGATTGTTAGAGCCTGTAATATAATATATTTAAAATATAGTACATTAATTTTTATTTAAACATTGTACAAAATAATTATTTTAATTCAATTTTTAAAATAATCCGCAATCTAAAGAGTAAGGGTGTGTGTCTTTCAATTTTTTATTTTATTTTTTTCACATATTTTTTCAAAAATATTAATATATTATACATATTTTTTATTTTTATATTTTTTACACGATTTTTCATAATTTACATTAAAAAAAATACTCTCTCAGTTACACATAATTTATCCATACTTTTTATTTTCGTCTATCCCATATAATTTGTCATTATAATCTTAAATAAATTATTTAGTTATAATCTATAATTATTTTTATTATACAATAATTATTTTTACTAATACACTTCTTAATTACTTACTAATTATATTTTACTTAAATTGTTCTATATACAGTAATGCACTCATATTATATTACGCGAGACATAGGGTGTACTAATTCAAATTATTTCATAAAACAAACACATCCTAAAATCTTTTTCATACCTCAGAAAAGGATAAGTTTAGAGAGAAAAATTATACTACTAAATGTTGTGTAATCCAAACAATTGAATGCCTTAATTTTATAGGCACGCCTAAATACATAATTTCTGACTTTCTTAAGAAAACTCCATTGTCTATGCTCTAATAGTGTATACCCATAATAAATATTATTACCCTACTCTACCATATTTCATACTCCCTCTGTCCCGAATATCGTGATTGCTACACTGTAGACACGGTAGTATAGGAGGAGTATAATTAGTAGATAATTAAGAATGTATTAATAAAAATAATTATTCTATAATATAAATAATTATAAATTAAGATTAAAATAACTAATTAATTTAATTAAAATTCTAAAAAATAAAATTAAAAAATTTAAAATAAGATTAAAGTGTGTAATTATTTTCCAAAAAAAAAAGTGATATGGTATGTGGGACGGACATAAACGACAACATGGACATGGTACTGGGACGGAGGGAATAACAACAAATTAATGGAAAAGCTTCTCGTAGCTTCTGGAAGAGAAACAATTCTAAAATTATTTGTTTATGTAATATAAAATTCATTTCGCCTATTTAAAATTTTAAATTGATTACTATCATTATATTAACTTTTTTTTACATTTTTCTTTTTTTTAAAAAAAAAACTAGACAATACAGATTATGAAAAGGCTAAAAATATTCAAACATATATTTACAGATAACTTGACATATTTATAAAATAACATATAATATATCATAATTCAGCATATCTTAGCACAACGGTTGATTTGACCAGCAGTTGATCCATACCCTGACTCAAATTAGTACTCAATTAACATATAACTCTGTCCGTTAGTAAATTTTTAATTTGTCCTTTCAACATGTTTAAATCAAAACTTTTAATTTTTTTCTTTTAGAAAAAACAAATATCAACTAAATTTCAAAATATTTGTATGTTTTTACTTTTCGCATTATTTTTCAAAGGTAAAATTAATATTATATTACTTTACTACATTACTTATTTATAAAATATTAATTTACTTTAACCTGTAAAAATCAAATGAAAAATTTACCGATGAACTGAAAACTATACAGAAAAATAATATTAAATTCAATTTAAAACCACAACCAAACACTCTAATCAACGACTCTTACCGGCGGCGGCGATGGCGAAAGCCCACTGATAGAGAAAGAAGCTATAATCGCCGGTCGGCGTCGGAAAATCCCGGAGCCCAAAAAAGTGTTTTCCGATGAAGGCATTGGACGGCGCGCCGTAGGCGAAGGCGAAGCCGAAGAGATAGTAGCTGATCCCGCCGGCCGCGGCGTCGAGAACATTAGTGAGCATGATGTTCATCGTGTTCTTCGCCCGAACGGATCCGGCGCAGAGCATCGCGAAGCCGAGCTGCATCGCGAACACCAAATACGCCGAAAATAGCAAGTACGTGTTGTCGATCGCATACGTCGCGTCCGACAGCTTCGCCGATATGCTGTCGAACCGGCCGCAGATGAAGGCGGCAGTCGCGGTGGCGTTGGCGGCGCCGCCGATCAGGGGGAGGAGATCGGCGGCGGTGCAGCTCAGGGAATCAGCCATGAGTGGTGCTAAACAAATATGTGTGGAGTTGGGGATTCATTTGCAATTTTGGGTTCTATTTTATAGACGTTAGACAGCCCCTACTGATTATTTATTTATTTATTTAATTGATTAGTAAACTAATATATTGAGACGTAATAATATTATTATATTTTTATTTAAATATCTGATGTAATTAGTGAGTATTTGGTAAACAATATAATTGTCACAAAAATTCAACTCTAACATGGTGCGTCACTACTCTATTATTTTATATTAATTGTAATTAATAATTTTAATTAATTTGGACAATAATTGCGTCACGGTTTCTAACTTCTAAAATATGCACTACAAAAAAATAATATATTTGTAATCGAATTCTGTCCCTAAAGTTCACGTAGCTAAAGTAATTTCATTCCTAATTTCGCCTCTAATGTCATTAGTGACAGAAAAAATAGATTTAGAAACAAAAGTATTTTGTTACAAAAATAATTTTTTCTTGTACTGATATTGCATTCAAACTGATGTATTGTTTGGGTAGATCTTTAATTTTTAATAGTAATAATAATAATAATAAAATGCTTAATTTTTATTTAGTATATTACATATATAAAAAATATTAATTTTTAATTTTAAAAAAATCATAAAAAAAATATTTATATTATATCATATAATATTTCAATTTAAAATTTATTATTTCCAAACTTCAAATGAAAATCCAAACGAAAAGCTAACACTAAAAAAATTGTTCCTAATATTAAGTCAAATGCAAAATGTCAATACAGCGTGTTTGTTCCTAATACACTGTTCATCTCATTTTTTTTTTTTTAAAAAAATATCAAATTAAATACTTATTTTTTATTTTTTATATTACTAAAGATCAATTTTACATTCAAAATATCGCATCAACACCTATTTATATCACATCGTACAACTATTCAAATTCAAAATTTTTATTTTTCAAATCCCAACTCAAAATCCAAACCCCTACACATTCGCACCTAGCTAACTTACAAAGGAGCAAGTACATGTGCAAAAGTATCTTTGAAGATTCAATGAATCTCGAAATTAGACTATTATATAAGAATATTCTACACTTAATAATAATAATAATAATAATAATTGTCTTTGTCATATGGACGTATATGTGGCTACAAGTAGATGTTTTATTGAACGATAATATTTAAATAATTAAATTATTACATATTTAAGCTGTAGGCTATAAGTCAAATTTAAATTGGATTATAAAATCAACATATATTATGATTGTATATACGTTTTAGGTTCCATTTAAATAAAGAGTTTTGAAGACAGTAAAAAAATTAGTATTTAATATAATATTTTAAGAGATAAAAAAATATTTTTGATGCAAAATTTAAAAAAAATTGTGAATGAATAGTACCAAAAGTTTCGATAAAAAGATTATGCATTCTTTTGTTATTTCAAATTAAAATCATCACTGTTCATTCTACACAATTCTCAATAAATTAAAATACAGTATACCATCTCCGCTACAAGAAAAAATCATTTTTGTAACAAATTTTTTTTTGTCTTTAAATCTATTTTTTTCGTTACTAATGACATTAGAGACGGAATTAGAAATGAAATTACGTTAGCTACGTGAACTTTAGGGACGAAATTCCATTACAAATATATTATTTTTTTTTGTAGTGCTCACAAAACATCACATAAAAATACTATTTAAATAAAAAATCAAATCAATACATTATTTCAAATAAATTATATAGAATAATTGTTATTTATGATATTTTATATATATATATATATATATAAATGGGTTTGTTAAAACAATATAATTATATAAAATTTGATTACAAAATACAAATATAAAAGCCAAATTGTCTCCATACTTCAAATTTATTATGTATATACATGTATTTATTGCTATACAATATCACGTACTCCCTCTAACACAAAACAATAATATTATTTTATTATTTTTATCTGTCTCAAAATAATAATTTTATAAAATTATTTTTATTTTTTTTACAATAATTGCATAAAGTAAGAATATTTTGGTCTTTTAAAATATTTTTACATTCACTATCGATACAATACTATTATTTTTTTAATTCCCGTACCCATCTCAATATCTTTATTGTTTTGGGACGAAAATAGTACTATTGAAAGAAGCAAATATATAATGGATTATATATATAACAATTTAATTATCAATTATTTATACAATCAAATTTTCACTTTATTTAGATAGTCTTTTGAAGTTTTGGTCATTTGTTTTTTTTTTTTTTTTTTTTAAATAATAATAATTTAAGTATTTGATGTGATAGTATTGTAAAATAAAATATGTATGACATGTGATAGGTTTTTAAAAATATATGTCAAGACAAATAGTGATAAAAATGATATATATATATATATATAAATAAAGAGTCGCGTGTGTGTAATATGTGTTTAGGCTCTTTTGTCGCAGTGGATTTTGTTTTATAATTTTATTTTATTTTATAATTTTATTATTTATTGAATAAATTAATGATATGATAATATTATACTCCTTTTATGACGAATGTATTATTTTAAGATTTTATAATTGATTAAGAAATAATAATATTTTGGGTAAATTGTTTTTTTTAGTTCCGTAACTGGACCCCTTATCATTTTAATCCCGTAAGTGGAGCCAATAGCAAACTAGTCTCATAAGTGAAAAATTTTCGCTGTTTTATTCCTCCGGCGCCGGAGATGCCCGCGTGGCTCGCCGGAGGTGACGTGTCCGCCAGGTGTCGCTGACCTGGTGGACACATGGGTTTTTTTTTTTTTTTAATTTTTTTAAAACTTATTTTTAATTTTATTTGTATTTTTTTATTTGGTCCAATAAAAAAATTTTAAAAAATTAAAAAAAATGAAAAAAAATAATAAATCTATGTGTCCGCCAGGTGTCGCTGACCTTACGGGACACCTGGCGGACATGTCACCTCCGGCAAGCCACGCAGACGTCTCCGGCGCCGGAGGACTAAAACAGCGAAAATTTTTCACTTATGGGACTAGTTTGTGACAGGCTCCACTTACGGGACTAAAATGATAAAGGGGTCCAGTTACGAGACTAAAAAAATAGTTTTATAGATGATTCTGATATATATATATGTATATATTTTGTAATTCATGTATATATATATAATTGTATTGTTTATAATTTATGTAATATTAATGATATTTTGATATTAGTGTGAGATTATTTTTACTATAATATGAAATAAATACTTTTGAGCGATACGAACGATAAAGGTAAAAATGATACTTTTAATTAGAAGATGGAGAATTCAATTAAACGTATTATTACTATGATTATTATTATTCTTTAAATAAACTTTGCATAAGACTAGTCTTGTACTATTTTCGTTCCAACTGAAATTTTTTTTTTTATTATTTTTTTGTCCATTTAAAAAATATTTATTTTATATTATACTCTCTCTGTCCCATAAGTAAATATTCATTTACTTTTTGCATAATTTTAGAAATATTAGTATTATATTGAGATATAGCATGAATAAAGTAGAAATGACAAAAATAACTTTATTAGTACGTGTGATATAAATGTAATGATATTTATGTAATATATTATAAGTTGTAAGGATATTTGTAATGTTAGGTAGATAGTACAGTTACTAAAACAAAAAATAGATACTTTGTTATGAGACATGCTAAAATGGAAAAATGAATACTTTGTTATGAGACGGGAGGAAGTAATAAAAATAATCACATACTAATATTAAAATACCATTGACTTTTATATAAAATACAAACATATCATTACACATATAATTTATTTATACATAAAGTACAAAAAATAAAAATATCAAAATTATCTTATTTGCTTCACTAATTAATAAAATACTATTATTTCTTAATTTATTTTTTTTTTAAAAAAAAAAACCCAAAAATAATACTCATATACAAATGTTAGAACCTTGAATATCACAAGATTCCTCATTGGTTGATTTATCAACATAAAATGTCAAAATAAATAGACATACTCAACTTGTAAAATCTACTATTAAATTTTAGATTCAAATTTCAAAAATGGTGATGTCACATTGTTGATTTTCAATGAAAGAGAATAAAAAATATAGAAAATTCTATATTAAATACATATAGTAAAAAACTTTGATTTTTATCCCCATATATTTTTAATAATTGTTTCTGCAATTTTCAATAAAGTAATGAAATATTTTGATGATATAATATATTATAATATTTCATCTCATGAAATAACATATTATCAAGATATAATTTAAGTCAAATGTCAAAACCTCAAAAATAGCTCAAAGTGAACACACAACAAATCTTTATGTGATTTGTTATGTTTTTTGGTGCTATTTTAGTTTTGAATTTAAATTTTAAATAGTAAAAATTTAAAATTAGATAGTTATTTAATGTCTATAAATATACGCTGATATAATATTTTGAATATAAAATTAATTTTTTATTAATATAATAAATAAAAATAGACATATATATATTTTCTTTATAAATATTTATTTGATTTTCTTGGGGAAATCATTCAAGGGTGTGTTGGTTGGGGTTTTGATTTTGGTTTAGGATTTGAATAGTAAAAATTTTGAATTTGAATAGTTGTATGATGTGATATAAATAAGTATTGATGTGATATTTTGAATGTAAAATTGATTTTTAGTAGTATAATATAAAAAATAAAAAATAGGGGTTTAATTTGATATTTTTTTGGAGAAAAAAATGGAATGAATAGTGGATTGGAAATCCAATTCGCCAAACAAACACACCTTTAAATGTTTTCGAAGTATTTTAGATCACTTTAGAAATATTTGTGTTTCGTTAGCTTCAAATCTTCGATTTTTACTATTTCACTACAAAAAAATAATATATTTGTAACGGAATTTCGTCCCTAAAGTTCACGTAACTAACGTAATTCCATTATTAATTCTGTCTCTAATGTCATTAGTAACGGAAAAAGTAGATTTAGAAACAAAAAAATTTTGTTACAAAAATAATTTTTTCTTCTAGTATTTGGTCTCTATATTTTTTG